ACTTAGGGATTATAACCCTCACTACGTAGAATTCTCTTCTGTGTTGCCAAAGAAAGGGGGCTGAACACCTTTTGCAGAGAACACCTTTCTGCCTTTTTGATGCTGACTGGGTTATATCATATTTTCTTTTGTCTCTCATCCTTCTTTCATATTTAGCAGTTTGACAGCTAAACGCCGCCATTTAATTTGCATATGCAACCAAAGGCAGACGCGTGGTTTTGAAGGTGTTTTTATTTAATAAATTGTGATTGATAGGTTAAAATTAAAGTAATAAAGAAAGTTGAAACAAGTCGAATAAAGTTTAAAGTGAAGGGGAATATAAACATGCATTGGTGAAGTGGCTGCTTTAAGGAAAATAGGAGTGATAAACGCTAATTTCCGAATTTTACAAAATAGGGCATATTTCAAACCCAATTTGTAAATAAATTAGTGACCATAATTACAATAGTGGATGTCAAAATAATGGGTAGACCCTACAAGTGTGTGCAATTTTTTTTTGGATCGGGTCACCTCTTTGGACGCAATACCCCGAAATAGGTGGGCCACTTACTAAACAGTACCCAACAAACCTATTGAATATAGTTGTTATAAGGCCATAAAATACCGAAAAACCAATTTTGACTATTTAGATAAAAATATTTAGCAAAACGAAGAAAAGTTAAACTTGTAACACGCAGGAAAAATATAAGCAATTTTGCTTAAATTTAAGCAAAACGGCAACGCTGACGGCATCTACTTTTGCACAGTATACAGTAAACCATCCATTGACAATATGCTTATTTGAAAATTAATTCATGAAATATTGTGTATGTGTAGGATTTTTTTGTCATTAACCCATAGGCAACGGCTGGTGCAAAAGTACCCACAAATGTTTGTTGATATATTCGAAATGTTAATTTAAACAGCAAAATTCATAAAAACAATAATAATAAAACAAAAGTATTGTTAACTACTACATGGGAGGTGGGCGTGGTTATTGACCTAAATTATACCAATGGCAACTTCGGGGGTGGGCTTTAGTAGTCAGCCGCACCTTGTGTTTTAAGAAAACCAGGTGGAATTAACAAATGAAACTTGGTCAGGGTGTTAAGAGAGGTATCCTCTAAAACATGTATAACTAAAAAATATAAATAATATCATTGTTTATAAGTTATTTGTTGTTAAAATTTCTTAAGTCGTTCCACTTGGTTTCCTTAACAAAAAAGCATTTGTGCATACTTTCATATATATAAATGCACATAACACTGTACTTAATACTTTACACACTTTTCTTTTATTTTATCTTGTATATAAATCACTTTAATTAAACTTTTATCGACTTGTAAATTACATTGAATTTCACGCATATTTACAATAACACATGGTTGCAAACTGACACATAACATGTGTTGCCATATTGTACAAAACAATACATTCAAAGAAGGCAATGATTAAAAAGGAATACAGGGGAAATCAATACAAAAGAAAATCTTCAGCTCTTTTCTTCGCAAAACAGAAAGGAGAATTCTATTGCCTGAGGGTTATAATCCCTAAGTGCGGCCGAAGGCCGCCTACGCAGAAAGGTGTTCTCTGCAAAAGGTGTTCAGCAGCTTTTCTTCGCAAAACAGAAAGGAGAATTCTACTGCCTGAGGGTTATAATCCCTAAGTGCGGCCGAAGGCCGCCTACGCAGAAAGGTGTTCTCTGCAAAAGGTGTTCAGCTCCTTTTCTTCGCAAAACAGAAAGGAGAATTCTACTGCCTGAGGGTTATAATCCTTAAGTGCGGCCGAAGTCCGCCTACGCAGAAAAGTGTTCTCTGCAAAATGTGTTCAGCCCCCCTTCTTCGGCAATACAGAAATAATAATTCTACTAAGTAAAAATTCCGAATTAAAAATCCGCTTTTATTATTCAAAATTCCAGTCTGGTAGCACTAAGTTGTATGTTATTTTGCTATCTTATTCATCGTTTATATGAAAATTTTAACAATAAATTATATAAGAACTATAGGGTTGCTAGAAAAAAAGGGGGGTAGTTTTGAAATCAGGGGGTCCTATTCTACCCCCCTCATCCCCCCTTTTTCTAGAATTTGCCGTCCGTCTACTAAAATTTTCCCAACTTCGGCACCGACTTTCGTTAAAATATCTTAATTTTGTTCGAGTTAGCGTGTTTACAAACAGACACGGCTGAACTAATTCTTCTCGTCATCTAAAATCGATGGGACCATTTTCCAAAGTCAGTCCTTATTCATTCAATTATTCACTCAAAGCTGTGTTCCGAATGCGGTATGACTTATATAGGAATTACATCCGGTCACAATCGCTAACGCTTCACTCCTGATTTTCTCGGAATTTTGCATTTTTCTCATTATTTTATTTTATGTGACTTGAAAATATTTTTCACTATAAGAAAATATTAAATTTGATTTCATTTGGGTTAACGAAAACGACAACTGTGAAAAAATATCAACCAATACATTCAAACAAATTGTCAAATAAGCATATTTACATTTTTTGTTTTGCCCATGGTGAAATAATAACAAGGTGTTGTCAGTAGCGACGTGTTTGTTGTAATTTTGACAAGATCGGCATGCTTATTTTCAGTGCTGTCGATCTTAATTTTTATAATGCTATTAGTTGGGAAATTGTATTTAAAATACTCCATTTTAGTATTTCATTTTATCGTGATTTTTAACAAACTTGGTGTTTTCAGAACGATATTAATATTTAAAATTGCTGGATTTGTATAATATTTGTCCTCAAAATATAAAATATAAAAGATATCGTAGTTATCAATGGAAAAAGACGTACACAAAAATCGTATGGAAAGGCGATTTTTTTATATTAAATATCTTTTGCTGCATTGTCATAATATCGAGCCAAATGGGCTACTGATACACTAGAATAGAGCGGCAGCATGGTTAAATTTCGACTTCGCTTATATTATCGATATTTATGTGTTTTAATCTATATGTCAGCCGCTGTGGCGTAGTGGTAAGCAGTGCGCGCTCCAATCCGCAGCATCTGAGTTCAAGCCCTGGTCAAAGCAACATCGCAAAAAATATAGAAAAAAGGTTTTTTCTTAACAGCGGTCGTCCCTCGGCAGGCAATGGCAAACCTCCGAGTGTATTACTGCCATGAAAAACAGCTTCTCATAAAAATGCAATCGCCGTTCGGAGTCGGCGTAAAACTGTAGGTCCCTCCGCTTTGTGTGACAACATCAAGGCGCACGCCACAAGTCGGAGGAGAAGCTCGGTCAAACACTAACATATGTGTAAGCGCCAATCTAGTATTATTATTACTAATCTATTTAAAAAATCATTTACAGCTTCATAGGAAATTGCCTTATTTTACGGCCTGTACTTTTTTATAAGTTACAATATATGTGCAACCTGTGTGGAGCTTACGATACAAACATATATTCAGGCTTATAAGCCTGTAATTAAAAATTTTTCTACATTTAATTTGAAATAGTATGCACGAACGGATTAAAAGTAGTAAATAATTAGTACTTTTTCTACACTTTAAAATGCGTGACCGGAATAGACCTGCCGAAAAAGTGAGGTTAAGTTACTGACAACACCTTGTTATTATTACACCATGGTTTTGCCTATCTGGATTACTGTATACTGTGTACTTTTGTAAGTTTTATCGATGTTAAAAATCGATACAAGGCTTGCATTTCTATTTACGGAAATTAATTCCATAACTTTTTCTTATCAATTTCTCAAAAAAGCTACGATGTCTGCGGCGCTCACAGACTTTAATAGAATTAGATGTTTTTTGTGTAGGCGAAAAATCACATCAACGCGAAGCCAAAAACTCATCAAAAGTAGTATATGCCCTGCTTCAAAGAAATGCTTCAGAGAAGTTTTATCCTATTTGGCACGCCATGCAAATTCAGAGCTGCACATCGCTGAGGGTGAATCCATTTGCTCGACGTGTTACTCTGATGTGGTTGAATACGACACATACCTTATAAAAGCTCTTAAAAAACAACGCACTCTTTTAAATTTAATTGAAAAGGCAGTGATAAATTTTGATTCTGACTTCGAAAATGAAATTCAAGCCGATTTGAGTGCTTTGGACGAACTTACTGATGACCACTTTTTCGATGATGCGCAAATCTCTGATACGGAGATTACACGAACTATAGAGGATGCTTTGGGTGAGTCCTCGGAAGATCAGACTAGAATTTCCGAACATAATAGGAGAAGTCGTTTAGTCAAACTTAAATGCGAGTTGTGTGCTATGAAATTTCATACTAAGTCAGCTTTGAAAAAAACATATAACAAACGCACATAAAAAATTTAGTTGTGAATTGTGTAGTTATAGTCATCGAAATGAAGACTACGTCTTGCTACATATGAACACACACGAAGGTCGAAATGAGAACCAATGCCGTTTCTGTGAAAAAGAGTTTACTACAAAAATTAGTACGATTCGCCACATGGAAGTACATTACAATTCAAAAAAGTATCAATGTGATAAGTGTGGTCTTTGTTTTTCTCAAACAACTGTATTGTACAATCACAAATTACAACATGAAGCTGAAGAGCAACCACTTCAGTGTGAGATTTGCTCACAGGTATTTAAGACTAAGCGGACATATCGTCACCATATGATCACACATCGAGAAGATCGTCCTCGGTATAATTGCGAGTACTGCCCTAAAACTTTTACCGAGAAATATACCCTTAAAATTCATAAACGAACACATCCCGAAGCTGTAGAATCCAGTGAAATAACACAATCGCAGCTTCAAAATTCATTACAACATGATGAAGGACCGTTGTGCGCCTCAGAGAAAATACAATCTCAAGAAACCAAGTTCAATTGCATTATATGTGACCAGGAATTTACTGTAAAAGATCATCTCAATAAACATATGGAGAAAGAGCACGACGTTATACTCAAGTCTTTAACTATAAACAGTTTTTCGGAATTCGATGTGGTAGCAACGGATGTCAAAAAGGCTTGTAATATATGTGGACAATTGTTCAGTGCCCAAGCAAATTTAGACTACCATTTAAAATATGTCCACGCCAGTTCGCTTTAGTAATAATTGTTTTAAATAACTAAAAAAAACTTTCAAGTGTAAAGGCGGGATCATACGATTGGGCATTAGACCGATTTGACTACCAAATCGCGTGGTTAGAAAAATGTTATAGGGAATTTACATGATTCAACTTTCACAGGCGATTAGTTGAACAAAGAGTTGAACGAAAGTAGGCAGCCGACCAACTTCATTGAAAGCGATTAGTTGAAAGGCCGTTTACACCAGGCGATTGTTGCATTCAACTAAAAATCGCCTGAAAAATCGCCTCATGTAAATTCCCTATTAGACTGTTCCAATCACGACAATTTTTTTTTTATATTTTCCAAATTAATGTGTTGTACCAATCGGTTGACTGCTAGAAGAACTGTCGCCCAAATGTATATTGCTTGTGCCAATAGATCCAAATTAAATGTACAAATGTATCAATCGTATAAACCGGCCTTAATTCGTAGATGTAAGACAGTTCTGGAAATATGTTCCGGATGGATGTATGTATATGCTAACGCAATAAAGCAAATCTTTAAAATTTCTTATCTATAGCATATGAAAGTCAAAATGTTTGGGGAGGGGGGAGGGTTATTTAAAGAAAACGACTTACTACAATACATTTGTAAAACCGCCTGTTATAAAAGATACTATGCTGATATTTCTTATACCGCCCATCTTCTAATAAGTGTACGTATCGACTCACCTATCGACTACCCAAAGATGAATCCTTCAGAGTCATGTCGGTTTAATTAACACTGGGTCAGACGCTATGAGAGTTCAAAAGTTCTGGTTTTCTGATTTTGGTAAAAGGGTAGGTTGCTTAATAATCATCATCAATAAATCATGTACCAATCACAAACAGTTACATTTCGTGTATAAATTTAGACAATATAACCTGAGTTCATATTTTACAGGGCTGTCATTTGATAAGCTTATCTTAATTTAAACCGTCACTAGCCTTTTTTATTCAAATCATAAAAAAATGTGGCATTGAAAGAAATAATACGAATTTCATTGAAAAGTTTTAACCCTTAAATGCTCATAGTGACCGATTTAAGTGAAAAAAATGTATTATATGTAAAACGCTGAAGAAAAAATAACTGCATTTTTAATTTTTTTAATTTTCCGATTTTTACCAAGTTATTGAGAAAAAAAATGGTTGTATCTTTAAAGATACAATGAGCACTCACGCGAAACTTACCTTTGCAATGAAAGTATAAAACTCACTTATTTCAATGAGAAAAACCATTGTTTAGTGTGAATAAATAAACATATTTTTATTGAAATTCTATAATTTTTTTAAAATTAAGTATAATTAAAAGCAAATAATATAGAATATTTACATATTTAAAAATGATGGTAGTTATAAAAGCAGTTTTTTTCAGCTGTTAAACAAAGATTTACCTTACACTTGCTGCAATACATCCGTGTCTGTCCTGAGCAATTTGGAAACTTGCATCTTCCTTTTTTATCCATCGTCGTCCAGTGATCAGTTCCGTCTAATCTGACATCCCTCGGAGGCGCTACACTTGAGTTGGCCGTCCACGATTAGGAGTTTCTTTGAATTTATATGAAAATAGTGCATCAGCTATTTCCAACTTAAAATCGATTAATCTAATATTTTTTAAACCTGGCCGATCTCTATTAATTCTTTTATAAAGTAAAGTAAAGCATTAACGCATGTCATATCCAAAAGGTGGTAGAACACCCGAGTAGTCCACTTTCGACTTTTCATTGTGATCTTATGGCGACCCATCATGCTATCCATAAGGTCAACTCCACCCATATGACTATTATAATCTTTAATAATCTGCGGGCAGGGAATCATTTTGATGGTTTTATCTTTTTTGTCAAACCTCTTCACTGTCAAAGTCTCTGATGCGGTTTGTATTGAATGCACCAACGGTTTCATTCCAACATAGGTAGACACCAAATTTACAACTCGGTTATCTTTCCAGCTAAGAGAAGTCACATCGATGCCACATATATTCGAGACATATTCTTGACTGGTACCACGTGAAAATTTTAGCATGGTCTTTTCTTCAGGGAGCTTACAATTTTTAATTCTGTTACGCCTAATTGTTCCGACGGAAAGGATACCCTGGGTTCGTAAATATACTAGCAAGGGGATCGTTGTGTAGTAATTGTCAAAAAAGTATATAATTTTTGAAACGAGGGACTTCGCGAACTAACCTCACTACTATATTTGCGGATGGCTGAAGATCAGGTTCTGCTTGAATAGGTTTATCCGCTAATCCGCTGTATAATTCAAATTTGTAAGCATATCCAGAAGTATCGCATAAAACATAAAACTTAAACCCCCACTTCTTTGGTTTATTTGGCAAGTATTGATTCATGTAGCTCCCAATTTTTGTGGAATACATTTGTTCATCTACACATAATCTCTCCAATTTAGGAACACTTCCGAAAGTCTTATTGAGGGTATCTACGACGGGTCTAATAAGATAGAGCATATCGCGACCCGGATCGTCGAAAGGAGGCTGCTCATCTTTATCATTGAAATGGATCACCTCCCGTATTTTTCATTCATTTGATTTTTTATGACAGATACAGATCGACTGCTTGATTCAGACCAATAATCGCGAGAATTTGAAAGATTGTAATACGTCATATAAAAAAGTATTCCAATGAATTTGCGTAAATCAAATATATCAAAAGAGAAGGTCTCATTCACTCCAACATATTTTAAAGTTTCTTCAACTACATGTTCTTCCAACGATTGTGGGAATAAATAGCACCATATCTGGTATGGCGTTACCAAAGATGCTATATCATTCGGAAGACTACTATCTCCCTGAAATAGTACCTGCTCATGGTGAAGTTGTAAATTGCCTTTCTTCCATATAATTCTTTCAAAATCAGAGGATTTGGGGTTAACGCAAATTCCCTGAAATTCTGATGGGAATAAATCCCGAGGATTTTTAGTTTTATGTACACTACTAGAAGTAGACGGATTATAATCAATATCTGAATGCAAATTTTCTGGATCATTATCATCTGATATCATATCCAGACATGAATCGTGAATGGATGCGTCTAGGTCAATGTCATTGTCCGCCTCATTCACTGTTTCGTGTTCATCAAGAACTAACTGCATTTCTACATCTTTTTTATTACCCTTGATTTTATTTGGAATAGTCTCAAAGATATCGTCAATATCACTCTCATCGTCGGTACTATCGTAAGGAATGCTATTACAAAGTAATTCGCATATTTCGTCATCAGTAATTTTGGCTTTCCTACGGCAAAAATTTTCTTCCATCGCGAATTTATTATTAGAAAACCACCAAGTAAACCTCCTCACTCAACAGATGAAGCGCAAGTGGAAAATAAAAGCGAAATAATAAAGAATATCAAGCACGCAAAACAAAATTCAATCACAACGGAAATAAGGGAGAAGCGCTCACTGTATCTTTAAAGATACAACCATTAAATTCGATCATGTGATGCAGGGGAGGCGCGAAATCGATTCAATCAGCATAAAATCATTAGAAAATATAATTTACTGCAAGTATATATCTTTTAGAGACTTATAATGCCCATAGGTATGTGGATATTGTACTCCATAAACTTCACTTTATTTAATTTGCCCAAAAATTTTTTTTTTTACTTTTCTACACATTTTTACTTTCAACTATCACTAGTTTTGGAA